TGGGGGCCTCTAGATGCTCCCATGTAACACCTCTCCTGCGCGAGCTGCACTGGCTGCCGGTGGCCTTCCGGGTGCGCTTCAAGGTGTTAGTAACAACTTTTAAAGCGCTCCATGGCAATGGACCTAGGTATTTGCAAGACTGCCTCCTACCAAACACCTCCCTTCGACCAGTCCGCTCCCACAGAGAGGGCCTCCTTAGGGTACCGTCGGCCAGCCAATGCCGGCTGGTGACCCCCAGGGGAAGAGCCTTCTCTGTGGCAGCTCCTGCCCTCTGGAATGACCTGCCCCCCGACCTGCGTACAATTGCAGACCTGCGCCTCTTCCGTCGAGCCCTGAAAACTCATCTGTTCCATGCGGCCAGCCTGGCATAGTTTTGATTGGGTTTTGTTAGGGGTTTTATATTTTAGAGCAGGCTTTTATGTAATATTTACTGTGATTTTTATTATTGCCTGTTCACCGCCCTGAGTCCCATAAGGGAGATAGGGCGGTATATAAATAATAATAATAATAATAATAATAATAATAATAATAATAATAATAATAATAATAATAATAATAATAATAATAATAACAACTCTTAGTCTACATGAGACAGAGTATAGGAAGGCTATAAACAAAAAGCAATTTCTGTCATGTTTAGCATGAAGGTGAGAAATTTACAATCAGAAATTTACAATCACATAGTAATCTTCTCACCAACTTTGAAGATTTTGGACCAAAACTTTCAAATAGGTAACACATTTGGAAGATCTTAGACATAAGTAAATGCAGTAATATCCATCCACTTGGTTACTAATTTCTGCCCCTGATTTTTCATATCAAAAAGGTACTTTTAATACTAATATGTGGATAGTCACCTAAATCACAATTGACTTTCTTCTGGACTTCTTTTCAAATGTATTGGTAGCCATCCAAACAGAACAGTGAAAATATCTGCTAAGAAACTGAAATATCTGACACTGACGAATTTAAGGGTCCTGGTGCAGAGATGAGACCTGTTTCAAGATTTCTCTTTATGATGACCCAACATTATTTTTCAACTACTTTACTACTTGATTTCTGTGATAAAGTTCTCCCTTTGTGCTCATGTATGAAGTTTCTCAAGTTTCAGGAATTTTGCATCCACTCCTTACATCCTGGACTACACAGGAATCTCAAAACTGCCTTTTTCTGTCCCTGCATCTCCCTTTCCCTGCATAAGGGAGAGAAGTAGAATACAGGCAAGAATTTTTGTAAGATTTAATTTAAGCAGTTAAGTATATTTTGCCCTATTTCTGATTTGGGACTGGATCTCTCTGATCAACAAAACTTATTTCTCCTTCATTTCAGCTTTCTGTGAGACCACAATAAAACCAACATTTTTCCTTGGAATATCTGTAGCTTGATAAGTATGGCAGCTGTGCATTTTCATGTGGGTGGGAATTTTTCTGTCCTAATTCTCGGCCTCGACTCTGGTATTACTCTCTCATCTTCCTGTAGAGTTGTCTTTTTTCATAGAAATGCTCTGGGTGCAACTACCTCCCTAATGGGAGATACTTTTTTAATTGAACATATAATAGTTTCTTTGAGGTTTTATCATTGGGTGCTGCCCAGAGTCTTTGAGAGTTGGATAATATAGCAATTTCAAGAAATTATAGTTAGTCACACAGTCAGCCAGATGTTCTGTTTTTGCCACTCTTTTCCTGGGATAGCCATCGCTATCTGATAGATCTAGGAAATGTCTAGATCACAGGATCTAGGCATTTCCAAGTAAAGCTGCCTTTTGCAATTGACTGATGGTGGTTTTGTCAATGCCATGGTGTTCAAGTAGAGCTCGAGATGTAATGAGAGGGCTCCCAAGTTATTGTTACTACTGATAGTAATAGGTATATTTTCTGCTTTTATCCAGTCTTTGTATATTGGCGAATAATAAAATAACTCTACTTTCAGTAGTCCTGCACCTGCTGGCCTTTAGTTGGTTAGCTGACAGTTCTAAATTCTCTAGTCCACTTGGCACCAGAAGCCAGAATCTCTAACACTTACTCGGATAAAAACTGATCCAGTACGAGTCTTACTTTATCATTTATATGAGAGGCAATCTTCATCTATTATTGTTATCATGATGGTGAGTTGCACAACCAGCTGGTTGTTTTGACTGGGTTTTTTCATATTATTAGCAATATTAGCATATTATTGCTGTAAGTTATATACCAAGAACCATACTAGAAAATTTTCAAAATGATGGCACTATAAATAAAACTGTTTGGCAACAGTTCAAAATCTTTCCACAGAAAAGACAGAAATGAAGATATGATGATTTTTGAGCAATTTCTGAATCCACTCTTCTTTCTTATCTTCCAGTAGGAACTTCCACTCTTAAAGAAGAGATTTTTTGGAGCATTTCAAAGGTCTCTTGATGGATTTCAGTTTGGAAAACATCAACGATTCAGCAGAGTATTCTGAATATAAAACTACCAATGATATCGATGACTACAAAAATAGACAACTCACAACAA